CTTGGGGCTTTTCATTTTATCTATATAATTCCTATTTTTTTTTTTTCCTTAAGGTTCTCATCAGATATTTTCCCGGCCTATCTCCCCATTTATAGTTTTCACTTAGCACTTTATTATACACTCTCCTTCTCTCCTCTTCCATCAGAGTTTCCAGTTCCTCTTTCTTTTTTATTATCTCCTGCTTGATTTCTTTTAGCAATCTGTTTTTGTGTATCTGTTCTAGCTCCGATATATCTTTTAAGAACCCACTAATTTTTCTCTCTTCTTTCTCTTTTCTTTCTTGCCCCAATTGCAATCAAAATTCCTCTTATATATGACTTGTGAGCCTCCCATACGTTGCCTTAGACACATCCTCAGTCTCATTCTCTCTAAAGAATCTCTCAATTTCCTTTCCAATCCTCTGTGCAATATCCTTGTCCTTGAGAAGCGCTTCATTCAGCCTCCAACCTACCCCTTCTGTTCTCCTCTTTCCCCATCCCATCCTCAATACAACAGGGGCATGATCCGAGAGAGTCATTACTCCTATATCTGCTTTAACCATTGAGTCTATGAAGTGATGATGGTAGGTTTAAAAAAAAAAAAAAATAATAATACTAGAAAAGCTACAATTTCTGGGGAAATTGTGTGAAGTGTTCTTGCCTCCACCAGTAGTCTACAACTGGAGTGGGCGGAGTAACTGTTGTGTGGTTGGAGTGGGCGGAGTAACTGGGGGGAGTGGCTTGAGTAACTTGCGTGGTTGGAGTGGGCGGAGTAGCGTTTATCACTCTGCTGCCTGCTCACACACCTGGGTTCCTATGGCAACTCACTCTACAGTCATGGCAGCCCCTAGTAACCTCTACCTGAAGGCACACCTACTCCCAAAGCAACTCCCATCAAAGCCCCTCCCGGACAGTCATGGCAACCCCTAGTAACCGTTACCTGAACGCATACCTACTCCCAGAGCAACTCCCACCAAAGCCCCTTCCGGACAGTCATGGCAACCCCTAGTAACCGTTATCTGAACGCATACCTACTCCCAGAGCAACTCCCACCAAAGCCCCTCCCGGACAGTCATGGCAGCCCCTAGTAACCGTTACCTAAGGGCACACCTACTCCCAGAGCAACCCCCATCAAAGCCCCTCCCAGACAGTCATGGCAGCCCCTAGTAACCGTTACCTGAAGGCACACCTACTGCCAGAGCAACTCCCATCAAAGCCCCTCCCAGACAGTCATGGCAGCCCCTAGTAACCGTTACCTGAAGGCACACCTACTCCCAGAGCAACTCCCATCAAAGCCCCTCCCAGACAGTCATGGCAGCCCCTAGTAACCTCCCTGAAGGCACACCTACTCCCAGAGCAACTCCCACCAAAGCCCCTCCCGGACAGCCATGGCAGCCCCTAGCAACCGTTACCTGAAGGCACACCTACTCCCAGAGCAACCCCCATCAAAGCCCCTCCCGGACAGTCATGGCAGCCCCTAGTAACCGTTACCTGAAGGCACACCTACTTCCAGAGCAACTCCCCATCAAAGCCCCTCCCAGACAGCCATGGCAGCCCCTAGTAACCTCCCTGAAGGCACACCTACTCCCAGAGCAACCCCCACCAAAGCCCCTCCCAGACAGTCATGGCAGCCCCTAGTAACCGTTACCTGAGGGCACACCTACTGCCAGAGCAACCCCCACCAAAGCCCCTCCCAGACAGTCATGGCAGCCCCTAGTAACCTCCCTGAAGGCACACCTACTCCCAGAGCAACCCCCATCAAAGCCCCTCCCAGACAGTCATGGCAGCCCCTAGTAACCTCCCTGAAGGCACACCTACTCCCAGAGCAACCCCCATCAAAGCCCCTCCCAGACAGTCTGGCAGCCCCTAGTAACCTCCCTGAAGGCACACCTACTCCCAGAGCAACTCCCATCAAAGCCCCTCCCAGACAGTCATGGCAGCCCCTAGTAACCTCTACCTGAAGGCACACCTACTCCAGAGCAACCCCCATCAATGCCCCTCCCAGACAGTCATGGCAGCCCCTAGTAACCGTTACCTGAAGGCACACCTACTCCCAGAGCAACTCCCACCAAAGCCCCTCCCGGACAGTCATGGCAGCCCCTAGTAACCGTTACCTGAAGGCACACCTACTCCCAGAGCAACCCCCACCAAAGCCCCTCCCAGACAGTCATGGCAGCCCCTAGTAACCTCCCTGAAGGCACACCTACTCCCAGAGCAACCCCCACCAAAGCCCCTCCCGGACAGTCATGGCAGCCCCTAGTAACCTCCCTGAAGGCACACCTACTCCCAGAGCAACTCCCATCAAAGCCCCTCCCGGACAGTCAGGGCAGCCCCTAGTAACCGTTACCTGAAGGCACACCTACTCCCAGAGCAACCCCATCAAAGCCCCTCCCGACAGTCATGGCAGCCCCTAGTAACCGTTACCTGAAGGCACACCTACTCCCAGAGCAACTCCCATCAAAGCCCCTCCCAGACAGTCATGGCAGCCCCTAGTAACCGTTACCTGAGGGCACACCTACTCCCAGAGCAACCCCCACCAAAGCCCCTCCCGGACAAACATGGCAGCCCCTAGTAACCGTTACCTGAAGGCACACCTACTCCCAGAGCAACCCCCACCAAAGCCCCTCCCGGACAGTCATGGCAGCCCCTAGTAACCTCCACCTGAGGGCACACCTACTCCCAGAGCAACCCCCACCAAAGCCCCTCCCGGACAGTCATGGCAGCCCCTAGTAACCTCCACCTGAGGGCACACCTACTTCCAGAGCAACCCCCACCAAAGCCCCTCCCGACAGTCATGGCAGCCCCTAGTAACCTCCACCTGAGGGCACACCTACTCCCAGAGCAACCCCCACCAAAGCCCCTCCCCAGACAGTCATGGCAGCCCCTAGTAACCTCCACCTGAGGGCACACCTACTCCCAGAGCAACCCCCACCAAAGCCCCTCCCAGACAGTCATGGCAGCCCCTAGTAACCTCTACCTGAGGGCACACCTACTCCCAGAGCAACCCCCACCAAAGCCCCTCCCAGACAGTCATGGCAGCCCCTAGTAACCTCCCTGAAGGCACACCTACTCCCAGAGCAACCCCCACCAAAGCCCCTCCCAGACAGTCATGGCAGCCCCTAGTAACCGTTACCTGAGGGCACACCTACTCCCAGAGCAACTCCCACCAAAGCCCCTCCCAGACAGTCATGGCAGCCCCTAGTAACCGTTACCTGAGGGCACACCTACTCCCAGAGCAACCCCCACCAAAGCCCCTCCCCTGAAGGCACCTACTCCCAGTCATGGCAGGCACCCTAGTAACCGTTACCTGAAGGCACACCTACTCCAGAGCAACCCCCACCAAAGCCCCTCCCAGACAGTCATGGCAGCCCCTAGTAACCGTTACCTGAAGGCACACCTACTCCCAGAGCAACCCCCAAAGCCCCTCCCAAAGCCCCTCCCCTAGTAACCTCAGAAGGCACACCTACTCCCAGAGCAACTCCCATCAAAGCCCCTAGTAAGCCCCTAGTAACCCCTGAAGGCACACCTACTCCCAGAGCAACTCCCATCAAAGCCCCTCCCGGACAGTCATGGCAGCCCCTAGTAACCGTTACCTGAAGGCACACCTACTCCCAGAGCAACCCCCATCAAAGCCCCTCCCGGACAGTCATGGCAGCCCCTAGTAACCGTTACCTGAAGGCACACCTACTCCCAGAGCAACCCCCACCAAAGCCCCTCCCGACAGTCAGCCCCTAGTAACCGTTACCTGGGCACCCTACTAGTAACCGTTACCTGAAGGCACACCTACTCCCCAGAGCAACCCCCACCAAAGCCCCTCCCGGACAGTCATGGCAGCCCCTAGTAACCTTACCCTGAGGGCACACCTACTCCCAGAGCAACCCCCACCAAAGCCCCTCCCAGGACAGTCATGGCAGCCCCTAGTAACCTCCACCTGAGGGCACACCTACTCCCAGAGCAACCCCCACCAAAGCCCCTCCCAGACAGTCATGGCAGCCCCTAGTAACCTCCACCTGAGGGCACACCTACTCCCAGAGCAACCCCCACCAAAGCCCCTCCCGGACAGTCATGGCAGCCCCTAGTAACCTCCACCTGAGGGCACACCTACTCCCAGAGCAACCCCCACCAAAGCCCCTCCCAGACAGTCATGGCAGCCCCTAGTAACCTCCACCTGAGGGCACACCTACTCCCAGAGCAACCCCCACCAAAGCCCCTCCCAGACAGTCATGGCAGCCCCTAGTAACCTCCCTGAAGGCACACCTACTCCCAGAGCAACCCCCACCAAAGCCCCTCCCAGACAGTCATGGCAGCCCCTAGTAACCTCCACCTGAGGGCACACCTACTCCCAGAGCAACTCCCACCAAAGCCCCTCCCAGAGCATGGCCCCCACCTCCAAAGGGCCCCTCCCGCAACCCCCACCAAAGCCCCTCCAGACAGTCATGGCAGCCCCTAGTAACCTCCCTGAAGGCACACCTACTCCCAGAGCTGACCTATACACACCTGGGCTTTGCAGATTAGTGAAGGAGCCATGCCTTCCATTGGCACACGTGTGAGATCTGGTGCTCAGCCTCTGCAGGAAAAGCTGATGTTTGGCTGTTACAACCACTGGCACAGTCACCTGGATGGAAGGGCTGCAGGCCCAGAGCCCGGAGAAGAGTCTCCTCTGTCCTCATCCAACACCTCAGCAGCTGGCTGAAGACACCTCCAGAAGGTCCTAAAGGAAGCGCCATCTTTCTCCTGACCTCCCTCCTGTCAAAGAACAACTGAGCATGCGCTACAGCAGCCTCCAACCACGTGACATGTTCCCACCACAACATGGCCTCTGCCAGCCAGCCTTCTCAGCACTGCGCATGCGGCCCACTGAAGAATAAATATATTGTGACGGAATAATGAACGGTCATATGGACTGCATTCTTGTACTACATCTCCCGGTAGGCACAGCGCGGCGCCGGCCTGTGACGGAATGACGTAGTGAGGAGTGGCGCGCTCGCCGTGCGACTCACAAAGAGGAGGAGCGGAGTGAAGATGGCGGAACGTGGATACAGTTTCTCTCTGACCACTTTCAGGTGAGCGGGATGCTGAGGCGAGGACTTTCCGCTGTGTGACCCGTCTAGTATGTTCCGCCCATTCCCGGGCCGTTCTCTCGGCCCTCCCGGCCGTCCGCCCCTCTCAGGACGCTCTGCGCACCGCCAGCCGGCACTTTGCAGAGTCACTCCGCCGCCTGGCCGGCCGTCCAATCACAGCGTGCGAGGCGCTCTGTACACATGGAGGATGGCCGGCTGGGAGCAGTACGGGGGCCCGGCCGGATCCTGTAGAGCTGCCAGGCCCATAGTGAATGAATCACCACACGGGGGGGGTGCTTCAGGGCCCGCGGCTTCTGTCATGGAGGGCAATGGGCCCCTCACTGTATCGGGGGCCTCTGAACCTGGCTGTGTACGATGACCTATCACATCCTCCCTTTCATTTATAAACCCTTCGTGGAGATGGAAAGGAGGCTCCTGATTGGTGGGGACATCAAAGCGGTTTTATTTAGTAGATTTCCTCCAGTTGCTGGGTGTCCTTGTATGGCTGGGATTCCGGTGCTAGGCCTTCTTTTCAGCTGTAATTTGTATTTGGTGTCCTTGTTTCACTTTCTCTTGTGGCCACTTAAGCAGGCCATAGACGTGGGGAAAATCGGACATTTTTTATTTTTTAAAATCGTGAATCGGTCGTTCAGACGGCCAACGTTGCCACTAATTAAAAAAAAAAAAAAAGTCGGGGGTTTTTAATCCCGTCTACAGCCGTCAATATAATAGCGGTGTCCCTGCCAGGGGCGGACTGACCATTTGGAAACTTGGGCACTGCCCAAGGGCCCGGGGTCAGTAGGGGGCCCCATGAGATGCCCCTGGTACCTTTTTCATAGGCTTTTTTGAGTTTGGGCAAGGACACAGGGGCCCCATGATCCCCTATTGCCCAGGGGCCCCATGAGTTGTCAGTCAGTCCGCCCCTGGTCCCTGCATAGAGATCCGCTATTATATCTGACAGAAGAAATAGATTCTGCAGAAGAAGAGAAACAACATTGTATCTATTTGTAGTTGAATAGAAACATCTGTATCCGAAATGCACACAAATAGATACAATGTTGCAGCTTTTTTTCTTCTCCGTCTTCTTCTGCAAAATCTATTTCATCTTCTCCTCTTTTCTTCTATTCTTCTTGATATTCTATTTCTTCTTCTCCTGCAAAATCTATTTCTTCTATTATTTCTTTTTCTTCATAGTCAATTTATTGTCAAATCGGCCAGAAGAACGGCTGATTTGACCATAAATTACCGCAAAAATCGGCCGATCTACCAAATCGTCCCAGCATGGCTGATTTTCAAAATCTCTTAAAATTAAGAAAAACGTCTGACATTTTTCCCCACTAACGGTACGAATATCGGACGATTTTTTTTTTCTTTTATCGGCTGATAATTCGGCGAGAAAATTGGAAATCTATGGCCACCTTTATAGTATTAGTGCTGGGATAGCGGTGCCGTGGCGCCATCCGCAGACGCTGCTGTTTATTGCAGGTCGCACAAAGCTGATCCACTTGTGACCTGCGTAACGCACATGTGCAGCAACAAAGGGAACGGGCTTCAATGCACACTTACATATACACCAACCATGGACACATACATGTCCATGGTTGGCTGAGATTTTAGTGCTGAAAGCGTGCTCCTAAGGTAGTGATTGAGCTGTCGAAGACAGATCACAGTCACAGCTGGCTGGATGAGCTCCTGATCATGTGACCACTGACATCCAGTGATGGTGGACATGTCATTGGGACATTTGTCCCACTTCCTCGAACATAAAGATCCACCCACTTGAGGTCCCTATTATACAGGTGATCTGATCATTATTATTATACAGTATTTATAAAGCGCCAATAGTTGGCTCAGCGCTGTACATTACAAAGGGGGACAGAACATGTGACAGAACAATACCAATACAATGCAAAACATGAGGGGATCGAGGGCCCTGCTCTTGGAGCTTACAATCTAGGAGGGAGGGGATGGTAGCACAGGAGGAGATAGCTGTGGGGGATGGAGTGGTAGGAAGAGTGGAGGAGGTCGGCAAGTTAGCAGGGGGTGGGGTAGGCTTCCCTGAAGAGATGGGTTTTCAGGGTGCGCCTAAAGGAGAGGAGAGTAGGTGATAATCTGATGGGTTGGGGCAGGGAGTTCCAGAGGATGGGTGACACCCTGGAGAAGTCCTGGAGGCGGGCATGGGAGGAGGAGACCAGGGAACTAGAGAGAAGGAGGTCTTGTGAGGAGCGGAGTGTGTGTGTTGGGTGGTACTTGGATATTAGGTCAGTGATGTAGTTCGGGGCAGTATGGTGGACGGCTTTGTACGTCAGTGTTAGGATTTTGAATTTGATCCGTTGCGCAATTGGAAGCCAGTGGAGGGATTGGCAGAGGGGGGTGGAGGACACTGAGTGGAGGCAGTGGAGGGATTGGCAGAGGGGGGTGGAGGACACTGAGTGGAGGCCAGTGGAGGGATTGGCAGAGGGGGGTGGTGGAAACGGAGCGGTTGGAAAGGGACACAGCGCACCGCCGATCGCTGCGCGCATGCGCGGTGAGAATGGAAGGACGTCATATGACGTCCTATCAGAACGAGAGAACCGCCTTGCGCCCGTCATTGGACTATATGGCGGGCAGGAGGTGGTTAAGAGATGCTGTGCCGCTCATGAAAATGGTCCCTGTATCTTTTTAAAATAGCTGCGTGGAAAATACATGGCGATTTCTTGTACCCAATATGCGCTGTATTTTTAGATGTGTGGGGGTGGCATTAAGAATTAATGGCACCCCCGCGTGTCTGCTAAAAAGCAGCACGTTTTGCCTGTGGGTGCAGGAATGCATGATATTTACACACATTCCCGCACGTGCATACATGTGAACCGAGCCTTTCATGAATCTGTCACATGTAGCCTGGATGGGAGGTGGATTTATAATGAATATCCAGAATACACTATGAATTCCAGAAACTTTCCCCACAGCCATCGGGGAACACACTGTGAATGCCAGATGTACTCTCGTAGTGAGAGGATCGATGCAATCTACCACATATATTTGCTTTGTTTTACAATCTCAATATACATCTGGGGGGGGGGGGGGGGGGGGGGGGAATCTGCCTCCATCTGTTCAGTTGGTTTCAATTTGAAAGCAGTTGAAGTTGTGTGTCGCTAGCATTGTGGTTGGCAGGCTGAGTCACTTCCTGAATTGTAACATTTCTGGGAAAGTGAAAGATCTCTTCATCACAGTTCTAGCTTAGTCCGAACCTTGAGGCCTGGCTTGGTCCGAACCTTGAGGCCTGGCTTGGTCCGAACCTTGAGGCCTGGCTTGGTCCGAACCTTGAGGCCTGGCTTGGTCCGAACCTTGAGGCCTGGCTTGGTCCGAACCTTGAGGCCTGGCTTGGTCCGAACCGTGAGGCCTGGCTTGAGGCCTGGCTTGGTCCGAACCGTGAGGCCTGGCTTGGTCCGAACCTTGAGGCCTGGCTTGGTCCGAACCGTGAGGCCTGGCTTGGTCCGAACCGTGAGGCCTGGCTTGGTCCGAACCGTGAGGCCTGGCTTGGTCCGAACCTTGAGGCCTGGCTTGGCCGAACCGTAGGCCTGGCTTGGTCCGAACCGTTGAGGCCTGGCTTGGTCCGAACCGTGAGGCCTGGCTTGGTCCGAACCTTGAGGCCTGGCTTGGTCCGAACCGTGAGGCCTGGCTTGGTCCGAACCTTGAACCGGAGGCTGGCTAGGTCCGAACCGTGAGGCCTGGCTTGGTCCGAACCGTGAGGCCTTGGTCCGAGGAGGCCTGGCTTGGTCCGAACCGTGAGGCCTGGCTTGGTCCGAACCGTGAGGCCTGGCTTGGTCCGAACCGTGAGGCCTGGCTTGGTCCGAACCGTGAGGCCTGGCTTGGTCCGAACCTGGCTGGTCCGAACCGGAGGCCTGGCTAGGTCCGCGTGTTGAAGACAGGAAAAAGGCAAAGACGGTGTTTTAGAATTAGGCCCCTAACACGGTCGTTCTGGATGTCTGTTTACGGATGAAAAACTGACACCCATGTATTTCTGTGGCCTAGCGGAGGTAAACGGATGATCATCTGTTTACATCTGTTAACGTCCGTTTATTTTTTTAACGGAAGAAAACAATTTTTCTTCCATCGAAAAAAAACGGATGTAAACAGAATGAAAAGCGGATGTGAACTGATCTGTTTTTTTTTCTTGGGGGGGGGGGGGGGGGGGGGGTGACGTGACTGAACTAATGGATTCCTACCAAATGATGCGCCCAGAATTTGGTAAGCCTTTTTTTGCTAATGTGTATTGTACCGTTGTGTTGCTTCATCCATGCATATACTTTGTGTGTTTTGGGGGGTGCTTGTTAGGGGTATGACCACTTGCCAAAAACTTCCTCCTTCACCATGGAAATTTATCTACTGATATCCAATAAACAAAAATTATAGTTTTTGGTGGAATTGGTATTCTTGGCAGCCTCCAAACCTTTACCCCCCCAAAACAAACTGCTTTGTAATACACGCCGTGCTGTCCCGAGTTATGAAATGTGCAGAAATAGGGAATAGAATATTACAGGTGTTAGGCTACGTTCACACTAGCGTTGTCTGCAGGCGGCAGAAAGACGTTTGGAAAGCGCCAAACGCCACGCAACCGCCGGGAAGAGGGGCATTAAAGCCGGCGGGCGTTTGCGGAGCGGCACCATAGACTAGAATAGGAGGCTTCAACGCCTCCTGACTCGACCAGAGGCGTCGAAGCCTCCTATTCTAGTCTATGGTGCCGCTCCGCAAACAGCCAGCAGTTGCAGGACGGTAACACCATTCAAACTTCATTATAGGCGTTTGTGGGGCGTTTTTAACGCTTGGAAAATGCCTAGCAACTGCCGCTGAACCGCGCATGCGGCGTTTGCGGAGCGTTAAAAAAACTCTTTGCAAACGCCGGACCAACGCTTGGCAAACGCTATAGGGGTGTTTAACAAGAGTTGGTAAAACAGTCAAGTGTGAACGAGCCCTTTGGGCTACCGCCACATATCCTAAGTCCACACAAGCTACTTGGTGGGTGAGTGAAGTTCAGTTTCAGAGGACAATGGGGTGGATATTCAGGTTCTCGGAAAGTCTAGGGATGTGTTTTCATTCAGCAGGAATGACGCAGCTTTTCAGCTTTCACTTTCACTCTCGGCAGTTGGGAGGGGCCGGAGTACAGAAGGGGAATTCTGAGAGACAATGGCTGACTGATGATCGTTTACAATCCCAGCAGTTGTTCTTTCTTCAGTTTTCTGACAAAGGCCAAACTGCCAATATCCACATCCTGTCTGATGGTCGGTTCTGTTGTGACCGTCAAGTATTACATGAAAACATAAATTCAGTTAGATCCATAAATAGCCGAGTCAGTAAAAGCAAAGATAAAAATATCCTCCGTGTGTTTGGAGCCAGTTGTGATTATTTGTACCCGTTGTTGGTTCCCTTCTTTCTGAGATTTTTTTTTCGCATTGTATAATTAAGTGTTGCATGGCGACCACTTCCTGTTATCTCACATATATATTCTTATTATTATAGCCAAATGTACCCCCCTAACTCCTCCCACAGTTTTTACACTACATAGACAGTAATATACCGAAACGTGCGGATTGTTCCCGATTGGTGTGCTATTACTTTGTGGAACGTTTCACCGAATGGTTCATAAAATATCGCCGTTTTTGTGGTGAAATTGGTCCCATAGGAATGAATGGCGGAATGTTCAAAACTAGAGTGTGAGCTGAAAAATCAGGACATGATTTCTAAACTGCCATCACTCCCTCATTTTCAAGCCCACCTACACAAATCTTATATCAAAACGTTCAGCTATCCCTGCTGCCGCTAAAAATGTCCACGGCTAAGCCATAGTCCTGATAGTTTTCACAATATGACCATTTGTTTGCAACTCACGCCGCCCATTGACATTCATTGAAACTCCACTCTAGCCACCTCAAATTTGAAGGGCAATTTCTAAACTGCAACTGTGTCTTCATTTTTTAATATTTCAGAGACATACTATGCATCAAAATGTAGGTCTGGGTCTTGTGATTCTCACAATATAAAGCTCTTCGCTGTAGGATTTATAAACTACAAACCGTTTGAGGATGGTAACCGCCAGTGAAGTGAGCAAGTTGGAGCAGTTTGTTTTTAACCGCTCTTCTCTGCCCTTGCTGTAGAGTGAGTTGCCATAGGAACCCAGGTGTGTGAGTGGGCAGCAGAGTGACAAGCCACTCCCCCCAGTTACTCCGCCCACTCCAGTTGTAGACTACTGGTGGAGGCAAGAACACTTCACACAATTTCCCCAGAAATTGGAGCTTTTCTAGTTATTATTATTATTATACAGTATATGGCGCCGACAGTTTGCGCAGCGCATTACAAAATGAAGGTAGACATTACAGTTACAATACAATTTGGTACAAGAGGAAACCGAGGGCCCGGCTTGTCAGATCTTAGAAGGAAGGGATATAATATAATTGAAGTAAACCTATCAGGAAATCCATGCGTTTTATGCGATTTTGATGTGTTTTTAATCTGTCGAGCAACAAGTTGTCAAAAAAAAAAAAAAACATTAAAAAAACACAACGCGTTAAAATCGCACTACAAAACGCAAACTCCATTGGTGTGAAACAGGCCTGAAAACGCAGCAAAAAATGCACGAGTTGAATTTGGATGCATTTTTTAATCTGCCCAGCAACAAGTTTGCCAAAACATTTTTTTAAAAACTCAGCAATATACAAATGCAAAAACACAAAACTCACTGCAAAACGCAAACTGCACTGGTGTGAACCAGGCCTGAAATGCACGTTTGTTTTTGTTGTGTTTTGAGTCCCATGATCTATAAAAAACGCACCCTAAATGGTGCAAAATCGTTTGTATTCGGCAGCCATTATCGGCGCCTTTTTTTCATTCAGCAAAATGCTGATAATACTATTTTTGGCCAGTACATTTCGGCTTCCGATATATCGGTGCATCCCTAATCGATATACAGCTGTTACATGACCCAGGTCCTTTCCAGCATGTCAGTAGGGAAACAGTGTCAGGAGGAGCTTCTAGTCCTCTGCTGCTGGTCACTGGTTAAAAAAACAAAACAAAAAAACAGCCTTTGGGCACACTTTCCTCCAGCCTGTGTTTTAGAATAACAGGGTGGTGAAGCCACCATCAATAAAGTGTAAAATCCCAGCCCCATTGTTAGCGGGCATGGAGGAGGAGGAAGTGGGGTGCCATTTACCAGTGTGTATACTCACACATGTGACTCTATAGTCACATGGGCGGCTCGGATGTGATGGGGAGGAAATTCTCAGGGTAGAAATAAACTAGCTGCCAACACTGCTCTGCAAAATCCCCAATTGTAGTGGGGACATGGACAGGAGGGCAGGTGGAGAACAGAAGGATCAACCAGGTTTTTTGTAGAATACAGGAAACGAATCCCATAGTGACTGAGTATGAACAGCGTGTAATACAGGCATTTTTTGATAGCTTTTACTGATGTGGGTTTAACAACATATTTCCCCATACTCTTTCTGGTTCATTGATTTGACATATTGAAGCAAGAGGATCCTTATGACCGGCAACTAGTATTCTCAGAAGGTCCGTAATACCAGTTAAAATAATACAAACCAGCTGCTGACAAGGTACCGTATTTTTCGCTCCATAAGACGCGCCTAGGTTTTAGAGGAGAAAAACAAGAAAAAAAATATTCTGAACCAATGGACTGCAGACACAGTACAGGAGATGACCAGAGACTGCAGACACAGTACAGGAGATGACCAGAGACTGCGGACACAGTACAGGGGATGACCAGAGACTGCGGACACAGTACAGGGGATGACCAGAGACTGCGGACACCGTACAGGGGATGACCAGAGACTGCGGACACCGTACAGGGGATGACAGGGGACACCGTACAGGGGATGACCAGAGACTGCGGACACAGTACAGGGGATGACCAGAGACTGCGGACACAGTACAGGGGATGACCAGAGACTGCGGACACAGTACAGGAGATGACCAGAGACTGCGGACACTAGTACAGGAGATGACCAGAGACTGCGGACACAGTACAGGAGATGACCACACAGTACAGACTGCGGACACAGTACAGGAGATGACCAGAGACTGCGGACACAGTACAGGAGATGACCAGAGACTGCGGACACAGTACAGGAGATGACCAGAGACTGCGGACACAGTACAGGAGATGACCAGAGACTGCGGACACAGTACAGGAGATGACCAGAGACTGCGGACTGCGGTACAGGAGATGACCAGAGACTGCGGACACAGTACAGGGATGACCATGACCAGCGGACAGCGGACCAGAGACTGGTACAGGGGATGACCAGAGACTGCGGACGCAGTACAGGGGATGACCAGAGACTGCGGACTACGGACGCGGACGCAGTACAGGGGATGACCAGAGACTGCGGACGCAGTACAGGGGATGACCAGAGACTGCGGACGCGGTGCAGGGGATGACCAGAGACTGCGGACGCGGTACAGGGGATGACCAGAGACTGCGGACGCGGTACAGGGGATGACCAGAGACTGCGGACGCGGTACAGGGGATGACCGGAGACTGCGGACGCGGTACAGGGGATGACCAGAGACTGCGGACGCGCGGTACAGGGGATGACTGTGGAAGTCCATCCACATCACATTTATTTTCAGTCAAGCCCTGACGGAGGCAGTGTAATTGGGTCCACTGAAATACGTTTGATACCTTTTTTGGATGTTTTTTGGAATAAAGTTGTATCTGGACCTCCTTCCTTCTTCTTTTTTTTTTTTTTTTTTATTTTATTAATTGTTTTCCCCACATTTTTTTTCCCTCCACTTAACCCCCCCACATTAAGCTGGCCATATCATGAGTGACAACAATCGGTAAAATTAATCAATTGTGGGGTTTTTCACCCCGTCTACTATACTGAGTGATCTCCACATACACGTCCTGTGAAGGGATGATAGTGGTGGTTTTTCCCTGTTTATTTCCTCATGGGATAATAGAATTGCATCATTGGCTGCCATCGTGTTGTATGCTCACCGGTGGCTACGGATTTATATGTACGTTGGCCAGTGCAGTGGATAAAATCTTTGGGCTCGTTCGTATTAATGGTTGAGGAAGCGGTAAAATCCTGCAGTTGAGCCACACTTTTTTAAGCCCCCCGCAACTGCTACCCCTTTCAGCTGCAGTGGCGTGATGAGTGTGTACACATGTCATGGGCACTATGCTCTACTTCATGACCACAGCAGGAATTATACCACCTGTCACTTTCAGGCGATCTGGGCTGTTCTGCGAGTGCTCTTTAACCGCGTTCAGTGAATGGGGTTGCAGCGCACTAGTGTGGGCATCACAGGGTTTAAAGCCGGCAGCAGAAAGGCGATGTAACTCCTCCTCACCACCTCTCAACTGCTCTCTGAGAAGCAATCCAAATGCAGATTGCTCTTCCGAGAGCACAGGTAGTGTGAACGAGAGCTTTTAGGAAGCCATGATATCCAGTAATGGGAGTATGCAAGGCTGTGTTGTAGTACATGTTCATCTTGGGGATGGTTCTTCCGGCCTGAACCAGCAAGGTGTCACTGTCTCTGAGATTCTTCCACTCATTGGTCAGCACAGGAGCTTTCATCCCAAACCAACAAGATTTTACTTCACTAAGCCAGCAAACATCCAGCAAGATGGACATCCGAGAAAATTGTATGGAGCATTTTTAATTCCGTATAAAATGAAGTCTTCATAAGCCTCCCAAAAGAGAAAATTGTGTGCCTTGAGATGCGCCTCATAGTCTTGCTGCTTGAACATAGAGACTAATGTATTACCATTTTATCGAACATTACAGATGGTAAATATTATTAAAATTTTTGCATAATTGTGGGAATTGGATGCATGTTGCTCTAAAATCTATTCTAACGTCCTATTCCCGTCTGCGATACAAAAGATATATGAAGATACGGACTGCGATCCGTATTGTCTATGATCTGTTTTGTCTTTCTTACTTCAATAACACTTTTTTGGAAAAAAAAAAAAAAAAAAAAGAATATTTCCTTTTTTGTTATCTTTTTTTCTGAGTCTTGGCAGATATTGCTTTCAGAAAACGTACCAGGATCATCATTTTAACAGTTTGTTTGTTTTTTTGTTTATCCTAGTCCATCGGGAAAACTTGTACAGATTGAATACGCTTTAGCTGCGGTCGCTGCAGGAGCACCATCTGTTGGTATTAAAGGTATGTTAGAAATTGTCAGTTACTTCCAGTACCTTTTTGAATACACTTTAATGTTAGAGGGTTTGGACCGTGGAAGCCGTACCCAGAAAGAACAATTACCAGTCATTTCTTGTAGCTGATTTGTCCCCCATTACCGACTTACCTGCACTATAATGTGTCTCATTGTGGCCATGTTGGTAGAGGCATGGCTTTGCTCCTTCATGTGAGAGCTGTTCCCCCTGATGATTGCGGAAGTGCAGAAAACACAAAAGAGAGATTCGAGCACTGCAGGTTACCAGGTGTCTTTCATACAGGTAACAAGCTGAGATTAGAAGTAGTCTCTTAAAGGGAGTGCTGCTAATCTCATTTTGTTACCTGTATAAAAGACACCTGTCCAGAGGAGCAATCAAACCATCAGATTCCAAACTCTCCACCATGGCAAAGACCAAAGAGCTGTCCAAGGATGTCAGGGACAAGATGGTAGACCTACACAAGGCTGGACTGGGCTGCCAAACTATGGCCAAGCAGCTTGGTGAGAAGGTGACAACAGTTGGTACAATCATTCACAAATGGAAGAAACACAAAACAAGTGTCAGTCTCCCTAGGTCTGGTGCACCATGCAAGATCTCACCTCGTGGAGTGTCAATGATCATGAGAACAGTGAGGAATCATCCCAGAACTACACGTGAGGATCTTGTCAATGATCTCCAGGCAGCTGGGACCACCGTCACCAAGACTGTACCAAGTGCTAACACACTACACCGGCAAGGATTAAAATCCTGCAGTGCCCCAAGGTCCCTCTGCTCAAGAAAGCACATGTCCAGGCCCGTCTGAAGTCTGCCACTGCACATCTGAATGATGCCGAGGAGGACTGGTTGAAAATGTTGTGGTCAGATGAGACCAAAATCCAGCTCTTTGGCATCAACTAACTCGCCGTGTTTGGAGGAGGAGGAATGCTGCCTATGACCCCAAGAACACCATCCCAACTGTGAAACATGGTGGTGGAAACATTCTGCTTTGGGGGTGTTTTTCTGCTAAGTGGACAGGACAACTGCACCACATCAAAGGGATGATGGACGGGGCAATGTACCATCAAATCTTGGGTGAGAACCTTCTTCCCTCAGCCAGGGCATTGAAAATGGGTGGTGGATGGGTGTTTCAGCATGACAATGACCCAAAACACATGGCCAAGGCAACAAAGGAGCGGCTCAAGAAGAAGAACATTAAGGTCCTGGAGTGGCCCAGCCAGTCTCCAGACCTTCATCCGATTGAAAATCTGTGGAGGGACCTGAAAGTTCGAGTTGCCAAACGTCATCCACCAAACCTTAATGACTTGGAGAGGATCTGCCAAGAGGAGTGGGCCAAAATCCCTCCTGAGATGTGTGCGAACCTGGGGGCCAACTCCAGGAAACGTCTGACCTCTGTGATCGCCAACAAGGGATTTGCCACCAAGTACTAAGTCATGTTTTGTGAAGGGAATCAAATCCTTATTTCCCTCATGAACATGCAGATCAGTCATTTGTTAGACACGCATTTCTTTTGAATTTTTTTGTTGCTGTTCTGTGTCTGTGTTACAATACACTTATCATTCGATTTTTAAACTGATCATTTCTTTGTGAGGGCGCGAACATTCAAAATCAGCCGGGGATCAAGTACTTATTTCCTTCACTGTAAGTGGGTAGGTTTGCTTGTGAAACTTGACTGTTGCAGGCGATGTCACACTACCAAGACGCGTGGAAGCAATCATTTGTATTCAGAGAGTTTCTTTTATCTGTGCTTGTTATGTAATTGAGCAAAATAGGGGCCCTGTTTCTAAGAGAATCAGTGGGGGGGGGGATTGTTTTAACTGTTTTTTTCTTCTATTAAAAAAATAAATAGTTTTTGTGCTGTTTATTATTCTCTGTATGAGTTGTACACTTGTCTTTCAGCGGCAAATGGTGTTGTATTGGCAACTGAGAAAAAACAGAAATCGATATTGTACGATGAGCAAAGCGTACATAAAGTGGAGCCAATCACCAAGCACATAGGCATGGTGTACAGTGGCATGGGCCCAGATTACAGGTGAGCATCCCTGGAAGTAACCTTCTGATCACGTTAATAGAAAATGTTAGAATTGGAATACAGAACAGTTCTTGTTTTAAAACAATGGCATTTTCCCCGATGCCTGAAATTCAGATATAAATTCATGTCTCGGTTGGGATTCCGAGGTTAACAGCACCAATGTTGCATTTGCATCTTTTCGGTGTACTTTTGGCTGTATTTGCAGCCTTGCGTTGCAGTAAAATGCACATTTTTCATAACATGTGAACTGCAGTGCTATTCATTTTGGATTGTACATTGGAGAGGCAAGAACCATGTGTGTTGTGATGTGCTCCAAAAAAAAATTGTAGGTCCATTTAAAACATGAACTACGTTGGCCCTCCGTTCAAAGTGACGTAACAACCGCTATAAACTGTTCTTGCCGTGCATTGTGGTTGTTTCAGTGGATTGGTGCCATTCACATTGAATGACAGCACAACACACTGCACTGTTGCGCGTGCATTGTCATGCGTTGCTACAGCACAAAAACCTGGATAAGTAAACAGAATGATTGTGCAGTGGTCTTTTGGTGTAGTATGTGTTGTAATCTCGTCAGTTTCTAGTAACTAGTCTATATACTATATTACATATAAAAAAGGTGCAGCGCTAGATATACATATCACTAAACATAATAAAACGACATGTTGAATGGACATAAAATAGACATAAAATCAAGTGCAAAATAATGAACCACACTAGGTGAATTAAAATTGAGTGAATGTCCCAAATAATTCAAACGCCCACATGGGGAACCAATAGATCCAATTAGAGTGCGTGAAGACGGAAATCTGGTGTATCACACAGGGGATAATGGGTATAAAGAATGCGCACTCACCAGAAGTGCGTCAAAAATGCGCATATAAGATATCCTCTCTCATCATTTGGTCATCAACTGCCAGAACAGGGTCAGGGTAATGCACCATCCAATCTCATCCAGGGTAGGTACTCCAAAAAGCCTTAATAGTGTGTCACCGTCTGTGGTCCCTTTAAATGGGTTTCTGCAAGTGGGGACTCTCCTTGCTGCTCTTGATTCCTTCACATGTGTTTGTCTGTGTTCAGACAGGTGAACACAGACCCTGTTCTGGCAGTAGATGACCACCACCTGATGAGAGAGGATATCTTATATGCGCATTTTTGACGCACTTCTGGTGAGTGCGCATTCTTTATACCCATTATCCACTGTGTGATACACCGGATTTCCATCTTCACGCACTCTAATTGGATCTATTGGTTCCCCATGTGGGCGTTTGAATTATTTAGGACATTCACTCATTTTAATTCACCCAGTGTGATTCATTATTTTGCACTTGATTTTATTGGTATTTTATGTCTATTTTATGTCCATTCAACATGTCGTTTTATTATGTTTAGTGATATGTATATCTAGCGCTGCACCTTTTTTATATGTAGATTGATTGGAAGGTTTGTCCTTGGTTGCCTTTTTGGTGTTCTAGCAGCTATTTTTGTAGTCTCAGCGCTCGCTTACTACGTCTCTACAGTTATACTATATTAATTGTACTAAATAATTTGTTTTCCTCCCTAGAGTCCTTGTTCGGAGAGCCAGAAAACTAGCCCAGCAATATTACCTTGTGTATCAGGAACCCATTCCAACAGCACAACTAGTACAAAGAGTGGCATCGGTCATGCAGGAATATACACAGTCTGGGTAATGTTTAATTGCTTTTCTTAGGTGAAACTGGAAATGTGCCTCTTTTTTGTTTTTCCTCCTTTAAGTTTGGCTCCCCTTTGTAAGCCTTGCGAACAGCTGTGCACTAGATGACTATGTAGAAATATTAAATCAATCAATAGACTCCTAAATTGCACCCCTACCACAAATCACTACTTTCTCCATAGAAAGTATATAATCTATTTAAATTCTTTTTGTGATGCACATCCAAATCACCCAAAAATATCTCCAAATATAACATAATTAAATAAAACCACACATAATAATTCCAAGTACATAGAATAGATAGATATATCTCTAAAATATATATATATATATATATCTAAAATATATTAATAAACCCCAAAAAGTGTCCAAGTCCCAAAAAAAAAATAATTTCCAAAAAATATTTTCTTATAAGTCCAGTGAAGCAAAAACGATTCAAAATACTCCTTGATAACCCTCTTTCAATAGTTTTCAGGCATAAGCTGACATAAAGAAAAGGTCTCCCTCCATCCTTCCTTTTTTCACGGGGTATTCCTCATACAGGTAAAGAGAGGCTCTTTTAGACAGGATCCATAAAAAGAAACAGATTTTAATCAAAACTTGCATATAAAACAGGGATATCCAGCTTCCAGCACTAATCAATCCAATCCTGGGTTGAAAACCATAGGTTTCCAACCAACAAAATGGCCGCGGCGACACTTCCGGTCGGCGTGTGTGCGTGATGACGTCACTCCTCTAACGCGTTTCGTCACTTCCGGACGTCATCTGTGGATGACTACTGTTGCCTGTTGGAGTATAGGACATCCCTTTAATATTTGTTTGTGGTCTCCAGTTTCTTTTTGTTGCTTTTCTTAACAAAACATTTTAATCATGTCCTGTTCTCTGGCAGGGCAAAGTTTGGTTCATTAACCACCTAGTGATTTCAGGGTTAAGTGGACGAGTGGAGATTCTTTTCTGTACCCGTTGTAAATTCTAGAGTAAAACTTAAACCTGTGTCCCACTGTAGCCCCAACTAGGAAAGATATGGATACGATGTAATGAAGTTGCCTCTTTCCAACCCCACTGTAGACCTGTGTATTGGAAGCTGGCCTACTCCTTGTGTTGTTGCACATATATGTAACATGTTAGTGTGGTTGTGTGGCAAAGCGCATCCCTTCCTTGAGTTGGAATTGTTTTAAATTGGCTTTTACCTGCCAAGGACCACACAAAGCTCTAAACAGAGTTTAGGAAGATAAATCCACTTCTATCCTGTAGTCTTTTAAATAGGATTTGCTTACTGGGAATTTGTCTTTGCTGCAAACGTCCTATTGAATACATACAAAAAATATATTTAAATATTGTGGGAACTCACATCAATGGTAGAGCTTTAACTCCCCTGGCGGTATTCCCGAGTGTAGCTCGGGGTAAAGTTTCAGTACCACAAGCGGTAACCCTGAGCTACACTCGGGCTTACCATGCGGCGCTGCTCCGCGATCCCTCGATCACTTACCTTGTCCTGCGCTCCTGCGATGTCCCCCCTGCAGTGTCCCCGGCAATGTAATCCGGTGGATGCCGGCATCTGTCATCTGGGTTCTGTCCCCTGCGAGCGTCTGGACATACGGGGGACGGAACGGCGGGAAATTTGAAAATGACAAAAAGTGACATTCACTAAAATCACATAGTATAACATTCCTGTATCAAACCATTTCACATACATTTTGTCCCGAGTGCTTTGTCCGGCGCCCTGCCTGCATTGTTACTGTTCTTTCTGCCTGGAAACTTAGAAACCTCCATGGCGTCCAAAAAGCGTCCCTTTAGGTCTGAAGCGGTTTTAGACCGGCTAGAGAACAGCGATAGTAAATCAGAACCACTTGCAGAATTGAGTGATAATGATTCGTGGGGGAAATTCCTCATCAGACACTGAAAATGATTCTGCGACTTTGCTCAGCGATGTGCGAACTTGGCGCTATATTTCAAATTCAGTGTTTTTGGTTTGATTACATTATTGAATTAAATTTATTATATTTTTTATGATTATTTATTTAAATTATAATTTATGATTTCGCGTTTCAAATTATAACATACCCGGGATGTTTACTAGACTCTTGTTCGGACAGATTTCAGTGAGTTATTCCTAAAAATTACAGTTTACAATATAAAAACGCCAAATTTCCATGCAAAATAATGTACCGCTTTCAGCTCCAAAAATCTGAAATAATCATACCGCCAGGGAGGTTAAAGGACACAACCACTGGATTTCTTTTTAAGGGCTTCTCTAGCCCAATTTTATTTAAAAGAAAGTTCAGAGTTCCAGAAAATCAAAATCATAGGTTTCCCTCACTGGGGTTTTCAGCTTTTCACTCTTGCAAAGAAATAGGCATTCAGCCTCCTGGCTTTATACATACAACACTGCTACTGTGGCCTTCCACTTCATGCTCTCATCTGTTTCCTGCAGATTGTTTTCTCACCAGTGCTGTCCGAATTGCTAGCAGCCCCTTGCTGTTCTGGCTCTCACTTCTAGTTGGAACCCTCCTGTCTGCTGGGATGGAGCTCAGAACCATGGTCAGGAGGTCACTACTAAAAGCCCAGCACACACCTGACCAATTAGTGTGCTGGCGGTTCTGAAAACCTGGACCCGGGATTGGAGATTTCATCCCGGATCACTTCAGGTTCCGAAACAGACTTTACCAAAACTGAGGAAACTGAATAGCCCGTTTCCTCTCAATGACACAAGTTCCCTGAATCCCCTCAACCTGCCTGGTTGAGAATCATGGCTTATATTCTTCATTAGACCCTGGCAGGGTACCGCACTGCCAATTAATATATATGCTATTCTGCACTGCCAATTAAAAAAAAAAAAAAAAATATATATATATATATATATATACTGTGTGGGAAAAAAATGCTGTAAATTAGGAATGCTTTTAGAAATATAAGTGTTACTAGCTTGTTTTTGTTAACAAAATGGAAAATAAATGACCAGAAGAGATCACCTTTTGCTTTCAAAACCGCATCAATTCTTCTAGGTACACTTGCACACAGTTTTTGAAGGAACTCGGCAGGTAGATTTTTACAAACGTCTTCGAGAACTAATCACAGATCTTCTGTGTATGTAGGCTGACTCAGATCCTTCTGTCTCTTCATGTAATCCCAGATAGACTTGATAATGTTGAGATCAGGACTCCTTGTTCTTTTTTTACTGTGAAGATAGTTCTTAATGAGATTGGCTGGATGTTTGGGGTCATTTTTCGTGGTGCAGGATACATTTAGGGCCAATCGCACACCTCCCTGATGGTATGTCATGATGGATAAGTATGCACCTGTATCTCTCTTGCCGTGAAGACTGAGATGGAGCTCTGCAGTCACTTTTGCAGCAGTTGTTTTTTCTTATTCCGGTCACAATCCTACGCAATGTCTTTTTTGTTTCAGTTGACCATTTTGGGCCACGCTCATACTTATCAGACTGTTTTCCCAGAAACTGTATATGCCGTCATAACCTTTGATACGGTGCCTCATGACAGTGCAAATAAATTGGCAACTTCATTCACCGAGGCGCCAGCTAAGTGGGCACCAACAATTTACCCTCTTTGAAGCTCTGATGCGACTCCGTATTAGTAGCAGTACACACAGTGAATGACAAAAGTGAGGCTTCCCACCTGTTAGCTAGGTGTCTCATCACACAGCAGAAACAAAAGAATGTTACATGGCTTCCACTTTCAACGCAAAACATGTCACTTTCACACCTGCAAATCATGGTAGTTTTTTTCCATTTTTGTTTTTTTAGTCCCCTGTACTAACATCAGGGAGGCGTGTGATTGGCCCGAAATTTATTCTGTAGCAGAACGACACCAAACATGCAACCAATGTCATTAAGAACCATCTTCAGCATAAAGAAGTACAAGGAGTCCTGGATGTGATGATTGGGCTCCTACAGAGCCATGATCTTAACATTGAGTCTGTCTGGGATTACATGAAGAGACCGAAGGATCTGAGGCAGCCTACAGCCACAGGAGATCTGTTGTTAGTTCTCCAAGATGTTTGGAACAACCTACCTACCGAGTTCCTTCAAAACTCTGTACAAGTGTATTTAGAATAATTTATTTTTTCAAACAAGTTATTGAATGTTTTAAAGGTATATACGGGGTACAGAAGGAAGGGAGAAATTGAATGGGGATGATTCAAAGTATAAATGTACAAAATGAATCAAAAACCGTACATTCAGCATATTAGGAAGGATATATCTGATACTCAGTTGAAATCCTATAAATATTGCAAGGTGAAATATACAATAGCTGATGAGGAAACACTATTGTCAAGTGTGTGTGTGATGACAAGACATCAAGTCCACCCAGCATAGGTATAATGGGGGAGCATGAAGAGGAATTTACATTACACATTTTTACTTTATATCTTGTGCAGACAATGCCAAGTAGTATATTAGGGATAATTTAACTGTCTTTGTAAATGTGCCCACCATGCTTTTTTTAGTTTTTTTGTTTTGTTTTGTTTTTTATCCTGGTATGAAATACGCTGCACTGTCATTTTAATCATTTAAATGGTAGCTTAGTGATTTTGTCCTGTAGCAGTATACTGTATAATTAGTGGAACAAACCATCAAGGCAAAAACAATAGTCTCTGCAACTGAAACTTCAGAAGTCTCCATGTTTTGATTATTGAGGTAACTAATACGTTTTTCTTTTTCTATCTTTGATTTCTGTCTCCAGTGGTGTACGTCCATTTGGAGTCTCGTTATTAATTGCAGGCTGGGATGAGGAGCGACCATATTTATTCCAATCAGATCCTTCTGTAAGTAGCGTTAATAGTTCAACCCTGTCAAAGAACTAATTCTATGGGGTAAACTTTCTGTGACATCTAAAAACCTTTGTTATTTTGCAACCTAGACATTTTTTTAATATACTGTATTTTTCGCTCCATAAGACGCACCTGACCATAAGACACACCTAGGTTTTAGAGGCTGAAAACAGGAAAAAAAAATATTCTGAACTAATGGGCTGCGGACACAGTACAGGAGATGACCGGAGACTGCGGACACAGTACAGGAGATGACCAGAGACTGCGGACACAGTACAGGAGATGACCAGAGACTGCGGACACAGTACAGGAGATGACCGGAGACTGCGGACATAGTACAGGAGATGACCGGAGACTGCGGACACAGTACAGGGGATGACCGGAGACTGCGGACATAGTACAGGAGATGACCAGAGACTGCAGACATAGTACAGGAGATGACCAGAGACTGCGGACATAGTACAGGAGATGACCAGAGACTGCGAACATAGTACAGGAGATGACCAGAGACTGCGAACATAGTACAGGAGATGACCAGAGACTGCGGACATAGTACAGGAGATGACCAGAGACTGCGGACATAGTACAGGAGATGACCAGCGACTGCGGACACAGTACAGGAGATGACCAGCGACTGCGGACACAGTACAGGAGATGACCAGCGACTGCGGACACAGTACAGGAGATGACCAGCGACTGCGGACACAGTACAGGAGATGACCAGCGACTGCGGACACAGTACAGGAGATGACCAGCGACTGCGGACACAGTACAGGAGATGACCAGCGACTGCGGACACAGTACAGAGATGACCAGCGACTGCGGACACAGTACAGGAGATGACCAGCGACTGCGGACACAGTACAGGAGATGACCAGCGACTGCGGACACAGTACAGGAGATGACCAGCGACACAGTACAGGAGATGACCAGCGACTGCGGACACAGTACAGGAGATGACCAGCGACTGCGGACACAGTACAGGAGATGACCAGCGACTGCGGACACAGTACAGGAGATGACCAGCGACTGCGGACACAGTACAGGAGATGACCAGCGACTGCGGACACAGTACAGGAGATGACCAGCGACTGCGGACACAGTACAGGAGATGACCAGCGACTGCGGACACAGTACAGGGGATGACCAGAGACTGCGGACACAGTACAGGAGATGACCAGCGACTGCGGACACAGTACAGGAGATGACCAGCGACTGCGGACACAGTACAGGAGATGACCAGCGACTGCGGACACAGTACAGGAGATGACCAGCGACTGCGGACACAGTACAGGAGATGACCAGCGACTGCGGACACAGTACAGGGGATGACCAGAGACTGCGGACACAGTACAGGGGGTGACTGCTGACCTTTGGGGAGGGGGGGAGTGAGTACTTGAATTTGACAGGTACCCGCTCTTCCGCAGAGTTGTTCTTTGACCTTACCTGTTCCTCTATCCAGCGGCGCGCTGTCTTCCCGTCTTCTGGAGTGTGGGGGGGGCTCGGCTTGACAGCCGGGTGCCCAGTGCGCATGAGCGAGAACGCTACGCTTTGTGATTGGTCCGGCGGCTTCTGAGACCTGTCATGTGTCCCAGGTGCCGCCTTACCATTCACAAAGACCAACGCTTCTCGCGCATGCGCACTTGGCACCCGGCTGTCAAGCCGAGCGCCCACACTACAGAAGCCGGGAAGACAGCGCGGCGCTTGGATAGTAGAAACAGGTAAGGTCCTGCCGCAGAGCTGAGCGGCCGGCCTGGTATTCTGACGCGGCGGTGGAAATACCAGACCGGCCGCTCCATATTCGCTCCATAAGACGCACTGACATTTTCCCCCCTTTTTTGGGGGGAAAAAAGTGCGTCTTATGGAGCGAAAAATACCGTATATCAAATAAGTTACAATTTTAAAGATTTTTTTTATTTATTTATTTTTTTATTCCAATGACCTATTATGGAACATGTACCATTGATGTAAATCCAGTCTCTACAGGGCAAGTGTACAGAATGATTATGCATTTGAGTAACTGTAAATGTAGAGCTGAACATCTAATATAATAGTATATTGTCCACTGTGGTTTATGCAATTTGTATTCAATACAAAGTGTGAAAACTACTAAACGTGGCTCTTGCTAAAGATTATAAAGCTACCATATTTTATCTGTATTGTTTGGATTAGTATTATGGATGTTACTAGGACCAGTACTCTCCATGCTGGTCATCGGAGGGATAGTGTGGTGTGTTACCACCCAAGGTGACCATAACTTAGCAAACGTTTTTGGCCAGGCTCCGCCTTTTTTTGTAATGCTAATACTTGGTTGATAAGTTCCTGCCAGCTGTCAATATTGGAGGGCCAGAGGATTTCCTGTCAGCTATAGTATTATAAAAGTAAAGTGGATGAAGGAGTTTGATGCAGGCTAGGTTAGGCATCTCCGGAAACCTCTCGCCCAAAAGACATCGGGTAGGTTGCAGACATTGGTTATGTTTAGTAAGATGGCATTAAAAGCGGTAATTTTAGCCCAAAAGGCTCTCATTTTGGGACATTCTCAGACCATGTCTATAAATGTATGTAATGGTATTTAATCACCGCTGGGTTTTAAATTTTTTGCCAAAATTAACAAAAAAAGACCGAAAATCTGGAAAAAAAACACGTTTTTCTTTGTTTCTGTTATAAAAGTTTGCAAATAATTGTTCTTCATAAATTTAGGCCGAGATGTATTCTGCTACATGTCTTTGGTGAAAATAACCCAAATTAGGATGTATTTGTTAGTTTGTAGGAAAGTTTTATAGAGTTCACAAACTATGGTATAGATCTGAATATTGATCAATCCTGAAGTACTGACAGCCAATCTAATTTCTTGAGGTCGAAGAATGTCAGGACAGTACAGATGTCCCCCAAATGTCAGGACGGTACAGATGTCCCCCAAATGTCAGGACGGTACAGATGTCCCCCAAATGTCAGGACGGTACAGATATCCCCCAAATGTCAGGACGGTACAGATATCCCCCAAATGTCAGGACGGTACAGATATCCCCCAAATGTCAGGACGGTACAGATATCCCCCAAATGTCAGGACGGTACAGATATCCCCCAAATGTCAGGACGGTACAGATATCCCCCAAATGTCAGGACGGTACAGATATCCCCCAAATGTCAGGACGGTACAGATATCCCCCAAATGTCAGGACGGTACAGATATCCCCCAAATGTCAGGACGGTACAGATATCCCCCAAATGTCAGGACGGTACAGATATCCCCCAAATGTCAGGACGGTACAGATATCCCCCAAATGTCAGGACGGTACAGATATCCCCCAAATGTCAGGACGGTACAGATATCCCCCAAATGTCAGGACGGTACAGATATCCCCCAAATGTCAGGACGGTACAGATATCCCCCAAATGTCAGGACGGTACAGATATCCCCCAAAATGTCAGGACGGTACAGATATCCCCCAAATGTCAGGACGGTACAGATATCCCCCAAATGTCAGGACGGTACAGATATCCCCCAAATGTCAGGACGGTACAGATATCCCCCAAATGTCAGGACGGTACAGATATCCCCCAAATGTCAGGACGGTACAGATATCCCCCAAATGACCCCTTTTTGCAAAGTAGACAGTCCGACGTACTTCATAAGAGGAATGGCGAGTTTTTTTGAAGTTGTATTTTTTTGGTAATTTTTTGGAAAAAATGTAAACTTATTTTCACTATTTTTTTTTTTTTTTTTTTTTACATACTGTCACCAGTGCAGTACAGTGTCGTCATATAACTGGCATGGCGGTGAACAGGGACACTTTTTTAAAAAATTTTTTTATTTAATTTTACATTTTAATTTTTTAAGATTTTTTTTTTTTTTTTTTTTCATATTTCACTATGACCAAAGTAGTAGAATGTTACCTTAGTAACATTCTACTACTTTGGGGAAGTGATCAGTATTTTTTTTTTTTTTTTTTTTTTTTACACAATTTGCTTATAGCAAAGAATTACTTTGCTATAAGCAAGCATTTACCTGAATGACATCGATTCATTCAGTTTTTTTTTTTTTTTTTTTTTTTTTTTTTTTTTTTTGTGCTTAGCTGTGATTTGGCGACAGCTAATCACATGACATGTGCATGTGATCTCTGTGATCATTCACAGCTAGACACTAGTATACAATGGATGGCATGAATGAAGTCATCCATTGTATACAACTGTCATGGGACCTGCTGTGATTGGTCACAGCAGGTCACATGGTACTGGCAACGGGGGCCGGTACTCAGATCTGTCATCGGCTGTGTCCAAGGTACACGTCCGGTGACAGATCGCGCCGCTGCGCAGCTCTGCAAGTGCACAAACTGCACATGCCCGGGAGTACGCCATATGGCGTCCACCCAGAAATCTAATGTATTTTTCCGGCCGCCAAACGGCTATTGGCCGGGCATCTATTGGTTAAATCAATTTATTCAGTCAGGTCCCATGTTTAATATACAGTCTGTAGAGCCGGTTTTCACATAGGCGATTTAACCTAATAGTGTGTTGTTGGCTTGTGGGTACGCACTGAATCAGCGACAGTATACCCAATGAGACAGAACAAGAATAATTCAATAGTCGGAATGGAACCCAGAAACCCAGCATAGTAAGGCTGCAGTGCTTTGGTAGAAGGTAGGCACTACGTTGTGTTAAGATGGCAATATTTGTAAACTAGAATTGTGTTCTACAGAAATGTAATGATTTGTGTATTCGGGAAAATGCATAACTTGTCTGCTGTACATTCTGCTATCACTTAACATTTGATTTTTTTCATTTCTCAGGGAGCATATTTTGCATGGAAGGCAACAGCAATGGGAAAGAATTATGTAAATGGCAAAACTTTCCTGGAAAAAAGGTACAGAAATGGTTGTATAATTTAAAAAAAAAAAAAAAAAATTTTTTTATAACACATGCATGTTAAAATACACATTTTTTTGATCTGAGCAGTTCTTGTAACCCAAAAACATATTATATATTTTCTGAAAGCAGAGAACCTATGGTATATAAAGATGGGAGTTGCAATTTTGTATGCCACATGTTTGCACAACTATATTATTTATTTCAGGTACTTATATAGCGCCGTCAATTTACGCAGCACTTTACATATATATCGTATGTTCACATCGGTCCCTAAGCCTCAAGGGGCGTACAATCTAAGGTCCCTAACCCTCAAGGGGCGTACAATCTAAGGTCCCTAACTTACATTCATACATACATATACTAGGGACAATTTAGACAGAAGCCAATTCACCTACCAGCATGTCTTTGAAGTGTGGGGGAGGAAACCGGAGTATCCGGAGGAACCCACGCAGGCACAGGGAGAACATGCAAACTCCAGGCAGGTGGTGCCGTGGTTGGGATTTGAACCAACGACCCTAGTACTGCCAGGTGGAAGTGCTAACCATTTAGCCACTGTGCTGCCCATATTATATCAGATTGTGTTGAATTAAGAAGTACCAAATGTGTCGGGCCTCACAATTTTGGACCTTTTTTTTACCCTGCAAATTGGTGTCAAGCTACAACACTTGATTCTACATAGTAACTTTTTGAAAACCTCTCCAGCTGTACAAATTAAGGTGAACTCTAAATGATGGTTATAGAAGTATCCCTTCATTTAGCTTGCTTGGCGATACGTAATGTATTATGCAATTGGTGTTCATCTACATTCCTGCATCCTACCTACGTTTTAGGTTGTGGACACCAGTTTAGTGCTTTTGGCTGTAATCCCCAACCCACCAGCGTCCACAGGTTTAATTTAAAATGTTGTAAAAAAAGGTGTCCTGAACCCAGGACTTCAAAAAGTGCCTATTCTAGAAATAACGGTTTTATTTTTTCATCAAAAAAAACAGCATGTTGGCAAAAAAACCTGGGGGAAAAAAAGGCAAAATTTCAAGCCCACACTAGCTATTTTTCAAGAGAAACCAGTACGTATGCTAGTGTGGGCTCCGAATGTTGCAACATGCATGGGGGTAGGAGGAGGGGGTGGGGTGGGGGGGGGTGAAATGTACACAGTCTGTTGTTTAAATGGGCATAGGCTGCTGTCACCTCACAGCTGTGAGCCCGGAAGTGCTGAGGGTAGTGTGCTTTTACAGAAGCAAGATCAGGCATTGGATGTGCTCCTTTTTGAAGATCCTGATACACTTTTTTTGTGGTCTCGAGAACTTTGGGGTAATTGAGAGAAAACTGCCACTTCTGCTACTCTGATAACCAATACATTTTAAAATGAATATAAGTAGTGCAGCGCTAAAAATAAAAATATGAGCGTATACCAATGGTAATATGCAAAATAACAAATATGCAGCAAATATTAAAGCAACACAATATGTCCTTAGGAAATTGTAGCAATGGTGAGGCTATGTCAAATACCTTCACTGATATTGTAATACAGTAGTATAACACACGGTGCAAATAATAGTCCAGAATAACTATGAATGGTAAACCACAATATAATTTAAAAATGGTGACTTGATAGAATCCCAGTGGAACCTGTGATCCGGTGCAGTGCAGGAAGAATAAGTAAATTGCACACTCACCAGAGGCACAATTTAACTGTGCAATTGTGTCATGTACACCAGAGGTCCCTTTGGTTGTGGATGGAGCGTGGCCTGGATTGGATAACTCCGCGATAGGTAATGGAACGTCTGGGCGTCCCCCTAGATGAGTTTGGTTCACGATGGGTTCTGCCGATTACAGCTCTCTTCTAGGCCCTGGGATGGTCACCTGGTGGTCCTGAGGAATTAAATGCTCGTAGTGGAGCAGAAAGGAGTACCCATAGTGTAGTATTTTTAGTTGAATCAAAAATTTAATTTATTCAGGATAAAAATAGAAAAGACACTTCTCAGGTACTGTAATAGGAAAAACAATCCTCGTGCACAAAGGATATAATAAAATTGAATGCAGCATAACACTGACCAGCTGGTGAAAAAGGGGGGGCCGCTGGACCTCCCATATCCGGCGGCTTGACGTCACGGCTAACACGGGCTACTCCTTGACGCGCGTTTTCGTATCGCACGTACATCATCAGAAGGGTAAGCACCATGGTTCCACTGGGATTCTATCAAGTCACCATTTTTCAATTATATTGTGGTTTACCATTCATAGTTATTCTGGACTATTATTTGCACCGTGTGTTATACTACTGTATTACAATATCAGTGAAGGTATTTGACATAGCCTCACCATTGCTACAATTTCCTAAGGACATATTGTGTTGCTTTAATATTTGCTGCATGTTTGTTATTTTGCATATTACCATTGGTATACGCTCATATTTTATTTTTAGCGCTGCGCTACTTATATTTATATTCTATTGAAGGTTTATGGTTTCCCTTTTTAGTGTATTAGCTGCTGTTGTTCATTAGCGCTCACTGAACTACACACAACTCTACATTTTAAAATGAGCTCATGGCTGCATTGGCCTGTAACTTTTATCAGCACCATGTGGTACGTCTTTTGGCGGTAACCGACTTAAAGGAGGTTTTGTGAGCTTACATACATTTTATATGGTGCTCCCAGTTGCTCCAAACAAACTGTTTAAAGTTAAATGAAACCTGGAGATCAGTTTTAGCGGTTCTGCGGGTTTTGTGTTAGGAAAAGTTAAAGTGGAACTAAAGTCCAGATAATTACAAAAAACCTCCTGCGCTCACAAGGACTCCTACCCTATAACCATAAGCTGCTGACACTAAACTTATACCCAAAATAAGTGAATAAACAGTGCAAAAATGATGAGTGCAGCGCTAATTAGTATCTAATAGAACCGTAATACAATATATACTCAATCCCCAAAATAAATCCAAGATACTCAATACATATACAGTGTCATGCATGTATTCCCTCATGGGGAATATCTCGTGCAAAAACGTGAAAATAAAGTACTATATACTATAATAACATATATAGTAATAATAAACAGTGCCACACAAAGTGCACAAAAGGAATAAACGATAGTTCAAATACGAGAAAAGTCCAAAGTTAATAATACTGATGATGCTGTGCTTAATGATGAACTTCACACTCCACTCTTCATGCAAAATTATGTGCAGTGTACGTGATTCACACGTGACAATCCTTAACAGCCAAAATGCCCCCTCACCTCCTTCCTTAGACCCCAAGGGGCCAGCAATGCTTTCAGGATCACACGATCCTATCAGTATGGATCACTCTCTAGAAAATATCTTCCTCCTCCAGCGTCCACCAGTTTAGCAGCCAGCTCCTCCCAGGGTCATAGTAAGACACAAGCAGAGACCCTCCATAGTGCAACCAGTAATTTTATTGGTAATAGGTATAAAAAGTAGATTTGCACTCACAAAACGATGAATCTTCCAGCCTCCTACCACATGCTATGGGTGTACTGCATGGGTAATACACAGGGTGTTCCAATATGGCCCCCACGCCGGAAATGACGTCACCGCGATCACCGGAAGCTCCTCCCCACGTACTGACTAGTTGCGTCACGCCCACTTCGTGATTTCATCAGGGTAACCTTACCAATATACTTACCAATCCAACGGTCTGGCACCAGCATCTTCTTCTGCATACTGGTCTTGGGGCCTCCTCATTGTCTGGCGGGGATGATGTCCTGTCCCTGCATCGGAGGTTGTCCTCCTAGAACTAAGACGGGCCCACACTGTAAGCTGAGCTGTGCATGTGGTAGGGGCATTCTATTGCAAGAGCCATTGAAATAAATCTTGTTTCCTTTCAGTTTTTACAGCGGAACTTTAGTTCTGCTTTAAGTTCTGGGGGATGTGGGAGGTGATGATATGCTGTGATTTTTAATTTTTCACTGTCAAAAAGCTGCTTGCAAAAACTTGAGTGCTGAAAATTAATGTACCATGGATTTGGCTTTACTACTGCATCCCTTTGCTAGTCAGAAAGCACCACTGCAACATGACATGGCTGCAAAACTGTTGTAGCTGCCTATTCAGGATTGCGGGTGCAGGAGTCACAAAAGATTACGGATCTATGGGGAATTTTCTGCTACATGAATGGAGAGCCTTACTTCATTAGATTGGTGCCTCATTGTAAACTGTTGTGCAGGCTTTAAAACTGCTGCCTGGTTAGACTTTCTGTTCACCATGTAAAGAGAGAGTATGTTTCATTAACCACTTGCAGTCCGCCTGCTGCTTATAATAGGCAGGACGGTGGCACTCCAGGAGCGGGTTGCCGTTCATAAACGGCACCCGCCATTTCTAGCTCCCTGGGAGCGCGCAGCATCGCGATCCGGTGCCCGCTGTGTCCTCCGGACACAGTGAAACACCGCGTCGGACGGGACCTCTGTACGAGGTCCCGATCATGTGATCACTGATTGGCCAATCGGTGATCACATGCAAAGTAGTAAGCAAGATTTCACTTGTGACATCATTGCTTACTACGTGTGAAATCTGTGAATGGTCAGGTCACATGGTACAGGGCCATTCACAACAGCCTTGTACCATGTGATAAGCTGTGACCAATCACAGCTCACTCAGTACTTCTCAATGGCTGCAAGAATGCAGACAGAGAAAGAAATGATTGCTTTTACATCCTATATGGGTGTAAAAGCAATCACTGTTAAAAAAAAAAAAAAAAAAAAATCTTTATCACCCCCCACAAGTAGTACAGTGTCACCATGGTGACACTGTACTGCTAGGGTGACAGTATGAAAAAATATAAAAATGTAAAAACAATGTTTAAAAGTTATAATTTTTGGTTAAACTAATTTGGCTTTTTTTTTTTTTTTTTTCACTAAAAAGGTAATGGAATACATTTTGGCCAAGATTTATTATGAAATATTATTTATTTGCAGAGTTTTATAAGAAACTTTTTTTTTTTTTTTTTCAAAATATTTGGACTTTTTCATTTTCATAGCCAAAAAAATAAAAATCCCAGCGGTGAATAAATACCACCGAAATAAAGCTTTTATCTGTCTAAAAAAAAAAATGGTAAAAACTTCATATGGATACAGTGTTGCATGACCGCGCAATTGTCATTCAAAGTGTGATAGCGCTGAAAGCTGAAAATTGCCCTGGACAGGAAGGGGGTAAAAGTGTCCGGACAGGAAGTGGTTAAACAACTTACAGGAATAGGGGTGTACAAGAGTCTAGCAGACCAGAATCGTATATAAAGTGGTTCTGTGCTAAGTAAATATTAGCAGCAGACAACATCTAATCACCATTCCCTGGGCCCGGCCCTGCTGGCAGATTGTCTTCGTTATTGTTATTTCGTGTTGGCAGAGGATTTTCAGGGCACTTGGGGTACAACAGCAGCTTGTGACACTGACAACAAGGCAAGAGTTGTAGTGTTCACTATTGCTTTTTTGATTGGCTCTGATTCTCTTAACCATTTCCATACCGGGCAATTTTCCCCCTTCCTGCCCAGGCCAGTTTTCAGGTCTCAGCGCTCTCACATTTGAATGACAATTGCGCGGTCATACAACATTGTACCCAAACTAAAATTTTATCATTTTCTTCACACAACTAGAGCTTTCTTTTGGTGGTATTTATTCACCACTGGAGTTTTTATTTTTTGCTAAATTAACAAAAAAAGACTGAATTGTGAAAAAAAAAAACACGTTTTTCTTTTGTTATAAAAGTTTGCAAATAAATAATTGCTTTTCATAAATTTAGGCCGAGATGTATTCTGCTACATGTCTTTGGTGAAAATAACCCAAATCAGTATTTATTATTTGTAGAAAAGTTTTTATAGAGTTCACAAACTATGGTATAGATCTGAAAATTGATCGTTCCTGAAGTACTGACAGCCAATCTAATTTCTTGAGGTGTCCAAGAATGTCAGAACAGTACAGATATCCCCCAAATGTCAGGACGGTACAGATATCCCCCAAATGTCAGGACGGTCCAGATATCCCCCAAATGTCAGGACGGTCCAGATATATCCCCCAAATGTCAGGACGGTCCAGATATCCCCCAAATGTCAGGACGGTCCAGATATCCCCCAAATGTCAGGACGGTCCAGATATCCCCCAAAGGTCAGGACGGTCCAGATATCCCCCAAATGTCAGGACGGTCCAGATATCCCCCAAATGTCAGGACGGTCCAGATATCCCCCAAAGGTCAGGACGGTCCAGATATCCCCCAAAGGTCAGGACGGTCCAGATATCCCCCAAAGGTCAGGACGGTCCCAGATATCCCCCAAAGGTCAGGACGGTCCAGATATCCCCCAAATGACCCCTTTTTGCAAAGTAGACAGTCCAACATATTTCATAAGAGGCATGGCGAGTTTTTGGAAGTATGTAATTTCTTTGTAATTTTTCGGAAAATGAAGAAATTAAAAAAATGATTTTCACTATTTAAAAATTTTTTTTTTTTTTTACATATTGTTGCCATTGTAGTACAGCGTCATCATGTAACTGGCATTGCGGTGATCAGGAAAACTGGTGACCGTATGGGAAAAAAAGTTATAATTTTTTAAATTTTTATTACATTTTCTTTTTTTTTAAGATTTTTTTTTTTTCATATTTCACTATGACCAAAGTAGTATAATGTTACCATAGTAACATTGTACTACTTTGGGGAAGTGATCAGTATTTATTTTTTTTCTTTTACACAATTTTCTTATAGCAAAGAATTACTGTGCTATAAGCAAGCATTTACCTGAATGACATCGATTTAATCAGGGTACTATATATTTTTTTGTAATTAGCAGTGATTTGGCCACGGCTAGTCACATGACACAGCTGGGCTGTGATTGGCTCAGCTTGTACATGTGACCGCTGTGACCACAGCTAGACACACTTGTATACAGTGGATGGCTTCCTTTCATGCCATCCATTGTATACAACTGTCGTGACCTGCTGCGATTGGCCACAGCAGGTCACATGGTACTGGCAACTGGACCGACACACAGATCTGTCATCGGCCGTGTCCAAGGTATACGGCCGGTGACAGCGCGGTTATGCGCGCTGCGAAAAGGACGCCATATTTGCGCTCACCTGGAGGGACGAGGTGTTCGCCCAGCCGCCATCTGGCTATAGGCCGGGCAGCAACGGGTTAAAAGACAGAACAGCATGCTTTAGAATGGACTGCTGTTAGACTCTTGCTTTCTGAGGTATTTCTCTGAGGTAGTAGGAATTCTGAAAATGTTGTTTTCTGGTTGGTGTATCTAGCCGAATGGGAATGTGAACTGATTTTGCTTTGTTTCCTAGGTATAATGAAGATCTTGAACTTGAAGATGCTATACACACAGCAATTTTAACATTAAAGGTAATTACTGTGTTAAGGTAACACTTTTTATGATTTGCCGTGTCCCACTTGTCAGCAGATCTTTCTAGGAAACCTTTCATGAGTAAAATTTGCTATTGCTGACCCTTTCCTGAAAAGGTTATTTTACGGATTGCCATAACTACGTCTGACTTATTATAGGTACTGTTATAGCGCCGACAATTTACGCAGCGCTTTACATAAATTTGTACATTCACATCAGTCCCCGCCGCCGAGCTTTCAATCTAAGGTCCCTAACTTACGTTCATACATACACATACTAGGGACAATTTAGACAGGATCCAATTAACCTACTAGTATGTCTTTGGAGTGTGGGAGGAAACCGGAGTACCCGGAGAAAACCCACGCAGGCACAGGGAGATCATGCAAACTCGGGGCAGGTATTGCCTTGTTTGGGATTCGAACCAATGGCCCTATTGTTGCTAGGCAGAAGTGCCAACCATTTAGCCATTGTGCTGCCCTCAGTACCTTGAGTCAGTAGCAAAGAATAAGTTTGCAAAACGTTCAGTTTGTGATCTGCATTGTTAGTGATTCTAAAGGCTGAAGGTTGTTTACCTTGATGCATTCTATTCATAAAGGTAAAAAAACTTTCAGTGTGCAGCTCCCCCACAACCAAACCCTTCTTCCCGCCCAAGGCTTACTTGGGCTGATCCCAATCCAGTTATGTGCACAAGAGCAGCAGCTGTCCTGGGTCTCTTCCTCCTCGTTGACTGAGACGCAGGAGCCTATGGCTCCCCAAGCTGTCAATCAAAGCCAGTGAGGAGGTGACTTGGGAGAGAGCATGCACAAGTGTCTGCAGAGCAGGCAGCCTGCTCTGGGGGCACTCGGCAGGGGGTGGGGGCCAGGAGCACTAGTGGGGGGGGGGGGGCCCGAGAAGAGGAGGGTTGGGACTTCTCTGTGCAAACCCATTGCACAGAGCAGGTAAGCATAACATGTTTGTTATTTCTAAAAAATTAGCCTTTAGTGTCACTTTTTAACCACTTGCCTATAGGGCACTTCTACCCCCTTCCTGCCTACAGGGCGCTTCTACCCCCTTCCTGCCTACAGGGCACGTATACCCCCTTCCTGCCTACAGGGCACATATACCCCCTTCCTGCCTACAGGGCACATATACCCCCTTCCTGCCTACAGGGCACATATACCCCCTTCCTGCCTACAGGGCACATATACCCCCTTCCTGCCTACAGGGCACTTCTAACCCCTTCCTGCCTACAGGGCACTTCTAACCCTTCCTGCCTACAGGACACTTCTACCCCCTTCCTGCCTACAGGGCACTTCTACCCCCTTCCTGCCTATAGGACACTTCTACCCCCTTCCTGCCTACAGGGCACTTCTACCCCCTTCCTGCCCAGGCCAACTTTCAGCTTTCAGTGCTGTCACACTTTGAATGACAATTGCGCGGTCATGCAACACTGTACCCATATGACTTTTTTTACCATTTTTTGAGACCGATAAAAGCTTTATTTTTATGGTATTTATTCACTGCTGGGATTTTTATATTTTTTTGCTATGAAAATGAAAAAGTCCAAAAATCTTGAAGAAAAAAGTGTTTTTTTATAAAATTTAGAAAAAATTTTGACACTGTACTACTTGTGGGGGGGATGATGATTTTTTTTTTTTTTTTTTTTTTTTTTTAACAGTAATTGCTTGAACTAAAATTTTATCATTTTTTTTCACACAACTAGAGCTTTCTTTTGGTGGTATTTAATCACCACTGGAGTTTTTATTTGAAATTAATATGAAATTTTTATCACTTTGAGACAGAGCTTTCTTTTGGTGGCATTTAATCACCTCTGGGTTTTTTATTTTTTGCTAAACAAACCAAAAAACAACTGAAAATTTTGAAAAAAAAATTTTTTCTTAGTTTCTGTTATAAAATTTTGTAAATAAGTGATTTTTAGCCTTCACTTATGTGCGCTAATGAGGCGGCACTGAAAGGCGGCACTGATGGGCACTGAAAGGCAGCACTGATGAAGAGGCACTGGTAGGTGGCACTGATGGGCACTGAAAGGCAGCACTGATGATGAGAGGCACTGGTAGGTGGCACTGATGGGCACTGATATGTGGCATTGATGTGCACTGGTAGCACTGATTTGTGGCACTGATGGGGCTACACTGATCATCAGGGCACACAGATCATAAGTGCCCTGATGATCAGTGTACATGTCCCCTCTGAGGAATGCCGATTGCTGGCTCTCCTCTTCTCATGAGCTATCAGCGTGACAGCTTGAGAGGAGAGAAAATGCCGATAACAGGCATTTCCTTATTTACATGCGATCAGTTGTGATTGGACACAGCTGATAACTTGAGCCGACGGCTTTGGCTCTTTCCGTTGATCGGTGATCGGCTATGTCCATGGGACACAGCGCACCACCGATCGCCGTGCTGCGCGCCCCCAGAGTCGCGCACATACGGTTAGAACAAGAGAACTGCCTTGCACCCATCATTTCCTTATATAGGAGGTGGTTAATGTCCATCCACGATGCAGAAAGTTTTCCAGCCAGATGATCATTATGAGACGGCTATACAACTAGGAGGTCTGCAATGGCAGCCTATCAATTTCTCCCATCATGTAATTCCTTTAATTGTGCTGCTTTCTCTACTCCTACAGGAAAGTTTTGAGGGTCAGATGACAGAAGACAACATTGAAGTTGGTATTTGCAATGAAGCTGGATTTAAGCGGCTCACTCCTGCTGAAGTCAAAGATTACTTAGCTGCTATAGCATAAAAGGCTTCCAGTTGTGGAAGAGTTGGTGTAGTTTTTTTTTTTCTGCCACTAAAGGATTCAAAAGGTTTCTTTGCAGATTTTTTTGCATACTTTCTTATTTCTACCTGTCTGACAGATCTTTTTAAATTGACATGGTTCTAATCACAATAAAATCAAATACAACAAACCTTTTTCTTCTTGAATTGTCAGTTTCTTATTTTACACTGGGGATTACCACAATTTATTTCATGTGCAGTAAATATTAGGTTGGTAATTTAGAGGTGATAATTTGGTTGTGGAACTTCCAACTTAATCAGAGCTAAATTTTATTAACCGTTTCAAAAAAAAATGTTACATTCCCGCACGTGTCGAATGTAACTGTCACATTTGCTTGTGCTCTCAACCAAACTGTCAAACCATCAAATAGCTGGTGTCATAACTATACACGTGTGCAGCACCATGGCAGTTGCAGATCAAACCGAGGCTAAGATGGCAGCTTCCCTGGCTGAAAACAATAGGATGGTTTAGTACCACTTTAAGGCCTTGTTCACATGCAGCATAGTAATACATACTCCCATAGAGGGCCATGATTATTGGTACGGAGATGCACCAGTTTTCTGTGCATTCCCCCTCAGGCAGTTCTCATTGATGTCAATGGAGATGCAGTGGCTCCACATCTGATATCTGTGAGGGTGCATGACATCTGCTTTTGGAGTGGTGCACCCACACAGATGTCATATTGGGAGCAACATCTGTGTCTGTGCAGCCACTGCATTCCAACTACATCAAGGGAGTGAGAATTGCCTCAGGATGGCTTAACACCCCCCCCCCCCCCTTCCTAGTTTCTTCAGGTTCTGTGGTACTGTCCCTGCGGATCAGGTAGTCCCTCTTGTAATTCTTCACCCTCTCTAGGCAGCTGGACTAGTGTGTTGTGTGTGTTTTTTTTTTTTTTTTTTTTTTTTTTTTGCAAAAGTGGACACTACAGAAATGTACAGACCATATACTACAGTTGTGTTCAAAATAATAGCAGTGTGTTGAAAAAAGTGAATAAAGCTGAAAATCCTTCTAATAGCTTTTATTTCCATCCACACAAATGCATTGGGAACACGACACATTCTATTCCAAATCACAACATGAAGAAAAATACATCAAATTTGTGTTGTTCCTCTAAAGAAAATGGAAAAGTGAATATTAGACGGTTCAAAAAAATGGCCGTGTTTGTATTCTTCTTTACAAACTCAAACATTCACTATATAAACTGAGAAATGTTTGAAGATTTTGCTTTCCTTTGAATGACTTCATGAATATTTGGTTGTAGTCGCACTGTTTCTGAGAACTGCTGTACATCTGTGTTGCATGGAGTCCCCCAACTTCTGGCCCCTGTGATCAGGTATTCCAGCCCAGGATGATTGGACCACATTCCACAGTTCTTCTCTATTTCTTGGTTTTGCCTCAGAAACGGCATTTTTGATGTCACCCCACAAGTTTTCTATTGGATGAAGATCCGGGGATTGGGCTGGCCACTCCATAACATCAATCTTGTTGGTCTGGAACCAAGATGTTGCACGTTTACTGGTGTGTTTGGGGTCGTTGTCTTGTTGGAACACCCATTTCAAGGGCATTTCCTCTTCAGCATAAGGCAGCATGACCTCTTCAAGTATTCTGATGGATTCAAACTGATCCATGATCCCTGGTATGCGATAAATAGGCCCAACACTGTAGTATGAGAAACATCCCCATATCATGATGCTTGCACCACCATGCTTCAGCTCGGTCTTCACAGTGTACTGTGGCTTGAATTCAGTGTTTGGGAGTCGTCTGACAAACTGTCTCCGCCCACTAGACCCAAAAAGAACAATCTTACTTCCATCAGTCCACAAAATGTTGGGCCATTTCTCTTTAGGCCGGTCAATGTGCTCTTTGGCAGATTGTAACCTCTTCAGCACAGGTCTTTTTGACAACAGTGGGACTTTGCGGGGACTTCTTGCAGATAGCTTGGCTTCACATAGGCGTCTTCTAATTGTAACAGTCCTCACAGGGAACGTCACACCTTCTTTCATCTTCCTGTAGCTGATTGTTTGTTGAGTCCGCCCCTATTTTGGCTATTCTTCTATCCATTCCAATGGTAGTTTTTCGCTTTCTTCCGCGTCTTTCAGGTTTTGGTTGCCATTTTAAAGCATTTGCCATCATTTTAGCTGAGCAGCCGATCATTTTCTGCACTTCTTTATATGTTTTCCCCTCCAATCAACTTTTTAATCAAGGTACGCTGTTCTTCTGAACAATGTCTGGAACGACCCATTTTCCTCAGAATTTCAGAGAGAAATGCACTGTAACCAGCATGTACAACATTTGCTGCCTTCCTTCCTTAAATAAGGGCAGTAACTGCCACCTGTTTTTCAAAGAATGAATGACCTCACTAATAGAACTCCACACTGCTATTATTTTGAACACGCCCCTTTCAGTGAGTGATTCAATGACACAGAATCAGCAGCATGCATGTCATGACTGTCATGTCTGTTGGATTTCTATGACTCTACTACACCTGCTAGCAAATTATTTGCCATGTAGAAATATAATTTCTACCAAAAACAGTGATTGATCCGGTTAGTGATGTCTGACTGCTATTATTTTGAACACAACTGTATCTAAATAAACCGATGCAGAGAAGTAGATAGCTAAAAGTATATGCAGATCTTGACTTCCCTATATTAACTTGCCATTGTCACATTCCAAGCCTCTCAGTTGGTCATTTGGGGTCACCCATCACATTGCAAGACCAACAGACTAATGGGTGGGCCAAACATGACTTTGCCTCTGGGCTTGCTTACACTAGATGTAGATGAAAATGCTGTAGTGGCAATTCATTGTACACTTTTTTTTTTTTTTTTTTTTTAACAAAAAGTTTTATTGAGTAACAAAACAATTATACAGAAATTCCTCTAGCAAATACCAACAGGTACAGGGAGCAACCAAGTACACGTCCACAATTCTGTATTAGTGTATAGATGTCAAGCCATATCCAAAACAAAAAAGGCTTGATACAATGAAAGTAACACCACAACAGCTGATGGCAGTTGGGCAAAATAATTACATATACATCTACAGTATCTCCCAGAAGTGAGTTCACCCCTCACATTTTTGTAAATCTTTTATTATATCGTTTCATGTGACATTTTATTTTATCTTTTCATGTGACAACACTGAAGAAATGACACTTTGCTACAATGTAAAGTAGTCAGTGTACAGCTTGTATAGCTAAATTTGCTGTCCCTCAAAATAACTCAACACAGCCATTAATGTCTAAACAGCTGGCAATAAAAGTGAGTCCACCCCTAAGTGAAAATGTCTAAATTGAGCCCAATTAGCCATTTTCTCTCCCCGGTGTCATGTGACTCGTTAGTGTTACAAGGTCTCAGGTGTGAATGGGGAGCAGGTGCGTTACATTTGGTGTTATCGCTCTTACTCTCATACTGGTCACTGGAAGTTCAAGATGGCACTTCATGGCAAAGAACTCTGAGGATCTGAAAAAAGAATTGTTGCTGTACATAAAGATGGCCTAGGCCAGGGGTCTGCAACCTTTAAGACATAAAGAGCCACTTGGACCCATTTCCGAGAGGGAAAAAAAAGACTGGGAGCCGCAAAACCATTGCAACATTTAAAACAAATCCGACACTGCATATATTGCAAAAAACGCTCTGGTCATGAAGGGGGTTTAAGGGCCCAGTAAGCAAAGGGTTAATCAGGGCCACAGTGTATCGTCATAATCACAATCATAGCCTTAGGTCAGTGGTGGGCAACCTTTTTTTTCGACTGAGCCAAATCTCGCCAAAACCACGATTGAAATTTATTTTGAGAGAAACATTTTTAAAACTGAAAATACATCCCCCATATAGTAATTCATCCCCCATATAGTAATTCATCCCCCATAGTAATTCATCCCCCCTATAGTAATTCATCCCCCATATAGTAATTCATCCCCCCTATAGTAATTCACCCCCCTATAGTAATTCATCCCCCATATAGTAATTCATCCCCCCCATAGTAATTCATCCCCCATAGTAATTCATCCCATATAGTAATTCATCCCTCATATAGTAATTCATCCCCCCTATAGTAATTCATCCCCCCTGTAGTAATTCATCCCCCGTAGTAATTCATCCCCCCTATAGTAATTCATCCCCCCTATAGTAATTCATCCCCCATAGTAATTCATTCCCCATATTGTGTGAATTCACTTACCTTTGCTCCGCGCGTTCCTCTCGCTGGGTTCCCGCGCCGTTCTGGTCTTCAGGGCGGACTGTGAGAGGAGTTCGTCACGCTGCCCCGCCTACATCCGGGCTGCCCCGCCTACATCCTGACAGCCAATGTTTGCCAGCGGGCGCCCGGCACACAGAAGATCTACATTAAAAGAGCCGCGGCTTGCCGACCCTATTGCCTGTCACCTGGTGGGCAGTGTGCTCCGGAGCCGCAGGAAAGGTGAAAAAGAGCCGCGGGTTGCCGACACCAGGCCTAGGCTATAAGACTATTGCCAAGACACAGCACACCCCTAAGTGCACTTTTTCGTGTGGTGTTTTGCACTTGCACATTTTTTGTGAACACTTACGGGTTTTTTCGTTATAGTTGCACGTTTGAGGACTTAAAAAAAAAAAATAAAAAAAAAAATAAGACGATTGCCAAGACCCTGAAACTGAGCTGCAGCACGGTGGCCAAGACCATACAGTGGTTTAACAGGACAGGTTCTACTCAGAACAGGCCTCGCCATGTTCAACCACAGAAGTTGAGTGCAAGTGCTCAGGGTCATATCCAGAGGTTGTCTTTGGGAAATAGACGTATGAGTGCTGCCAGCATTGCTGCAGAGGTTGAAGGGGTGGGGGGGTCAACCTGTCAGTGCTCAGACCATACGCCACACACTGCATCAAATTGGTTGTTGTCCCAGAAGGAAGCCTCTTCTAAAGATAATGTACGAGATAGCCCACAAACAGTTTGCTGAAGACAAGCAGACTAAGGACATGGATTACTGG